AGTTCATGGAGGACAGGTCCATCAATGACTATTTTCCAGAATGGGCAGGGAGGATGTCCCTTGCCTGTTTGTCAGAAGCTGGGAATAGGCAACTAGGAATGAATCACTTAATGGTTATTTTCATAACTGACTAGTATCAGAATAGAGGATACTGGGCTAGACAGACCTTTTGTCTGACACACTATGGCCATTCTTATGTTCTTATTTGATGCTTGATTTGCTCTGCTGAGAAACTCTTTCTAGTGGACTCTGAAGATTTTCCACATCCATTTACCTGGGAATTAAATGATTTTCTTATCCGTCGCAATGATAGATTTCTTTGATTCTTCTCCAAAAAAGAGAACAGACATGCTGCTGGTGTTAAATATTCGTCTTTTTGTGCCTATCATGCTATTATCCAGATCTTTTCAATTTTATGAAAGTTGTTTGCTGCTTTTGATATTTGCTGCTTGATATCTAGCCTGGTGTCACCACCATTGCACATCCCAGCCCCTTGATATACTTCAATAAAAATTAGAATTACAAGTTATTATCAATGTACTCTTTTATTATATTCCAATGGATTGCACCTCTTTTGTTGCAAGTCAAGACACACACAAGTTCTTTTGTGCAAAAATTCTTGTTTCTGTGAATACTGTCAGGTTAGCAACATCCTTCTAGATGGATTTCAGACATGCTAGCACATTTGTATGTTTATTATATTATAAGATCTCTGGCTTTGATTTGAAAGAATACACAGTTTCTAATAAGATTTACCCAGCTATCCACAGAGAGGGCCTGCTCTGTTGTCCTGATGAACAAGACTCATTTACAAGGAAAAGTTGTAAGATATAACAAGCATTTAAAATCTATGAACTGGAATTTCTGACCACCACTAAACCCAGCTAGACATAGAGATAGCTTACACTGTAAAATATTTGAACAAATTATTTGAATTACTGGGAACTCCCTGTATGCATGACAGAAAAAGATTTGTGAATATGTGAGCTATTTGTACACAGTAGAAAAAAGAAGAAAGAAGAAATCCTAGATGTATAAAAGGAGCTATTTCTGGGAAAAGTAAACATTTAATAAAGGTAAGCTATGAATGTGTATATCATGTTATCGTAATTATCTTTCCATGAAAGGCTTCGGTCATCACTCGTATAATGCTGAGGCTCAACATTCCTTTAAAGAAACTCAAACAAAACAAAAGCAATAAAAACAAACAAAAAAGCTAGGAAGAAGCCTGCTGTTTACTGGGAAGTGGCCATGTTCTTTTTCAAGTAGGAAAAAAGACCTGCCACACTTGTGCAATAAGGAGTGCTCACATACTATGTGCCCTTGGTTTTGCCCTGATTTAGAGATGAGTTCAAACCCCAATCCTTGTTAGAGCTGTGTTGTTGAAGACCTGCTCTATCCTAATGAGCAAATGGAGATCTGAACATGGTGTAGTCTGGCAAAGTTTGGAGTCAGCCACACTCAGAAAGTGTTAACATTTGGAATTTTGACGTGTACTCGTTTCTGTTGGAGCATAGTACTCTCCAGCCTTATAAGTGTTGGACTAAGTAAGCCATGGCACATCCGGCCTTCTTCCAGAATTGCCAAACCACACGATGCACTGATGCCCTTTATTTGTGCTCCACACTCCGCCGTGCGTGTACCAGGCTGAATGTGCCTGTGGATCTGCATTGCCTCTGTCATCCCACAACTTGCAGCACCCCCGCACCCATGTCAGCGAGAGCTACTTTCTCTGTGCCTCGTGTCCTGCCCCATGCCGGGTGTCTCCCGTGTGCCAGGCCCTAGGCCCCCCTTCCTGCCCCTCGTGCGCCCGGCCAGGACCGTGCACTGGGGCGCAACGCGGGACGCCCTCTTCGGCCCGACCGCGGCGTCCTCTCCCCCTCCCCCGCGCCCAGCCTGGGCTCTCAGCACCTGGGCCAGCAGCACCTTTCTCTGTGCCTCGTGTCCTGCCCCATGCCGGGTGTCTCCCGTGTGCCAGGCCCTAGGCCCCCCTTCCTGCCCCTCGTGCGCCCGGCCAGGACCGTGCACTGGGGCGCAACGCGGGACGCCCTCTTCGGCCCGACCGCGGCGTCCTCTCCCCCTCCCCCGCGCCCAGCCTGGGCTCTCAGCACCTGGGCCAGCAGCACGCGCCCCGCTTCGGGGAGGGGGCGGAGCCCTGTGCCTGTTACCATGGCGACGGCGCGCGCCCGCCTCCCGCGC